AAAAAAAAAAAAAGGTAGGTACAAGTCTCCATTTTCCCTATGTATGGTAACTTTAGGGGTGTCTGTTGGGAAACCATATATAACACGACTAAACAAATAGCAAGTATATATTGTAGTCAATTTTTGCATTGCTGAAGCAAATTTTAGTTTATAATCTCAATGTAATTATCAATGACAAAATGAAGCAGCAGAAAAGCATATTTGGTGGCAGGGCATAGACTAGGGTTAAAAACAGGTTGCATCCACAGAACACAATTAACAAGGACTGAAGGAAAGGACCAAAGTCACTTTCTAAGGCAAGTACCTTTTGGGAATAGAAGAGACTCAGGAGATAAACGTTTATAATATAATATACTCAGAAATTATGATCACTAAGTATCAACCAAAGATAAGACCAGGGGCTTGCTCAACACTACCAGGTGATGGAATACCTCTTTGTAGGATGTGCCACACCTCCCCTCTTTCTCAATTCAGAGGAAACGATATAACAATTTCTCACAGTAAGATCACTTTGTTCAGAGATGCTCAGATATCACACTGATTATCTGAGCAAAACTGATTGAGCTATAATTAAAAGTACAGAGTGTCCCATGGGCGGCACCTGAGGCTCAAAGGAGTAGGGAGCTGGCCCCATATACCAGAGGTGGCAGGTTCAAACCCAGCCCCAGCCAAAAACTGCAAAAAAAGAAAAAAGTACAGGGTGTCCCAAAGGTAAGCATACATCCATAGGAAAATGGGAAATTCTAGCTAAAAATACCTTTATTTACAAAATATTCATTATAAGATTTTTCAAAACATTTCTCTATGCCTTGATATATAAATATAAAACATATGAAATATAGCTTCCTTTTGGCTAGAGATACCATCTTCCGGCAATTCACCAAACTGATGAACATAAAGGGAAACAGGAGAGGCATCTGATACATGTTCTTCAGAAACACACAGATGTAAATCTACAAGAAAGATGATATTATAGACATCAAGAGAATGGGTACTTTTCTTTTTTTTTTTTGAGACGGAGCCTCAAGCTATCCCCCTGGGTAGAGTGCCATGGCCTCACAGCTCACAGCAACCTCCAACTCCTGGGCTCAAGCGAGTCTCCTGCTTCAGCCTCCCAAGTAGCTGGGACTACAGGCGCCCGCCACAACGCCTGGCCATTTTTTGGTTGCAGCCATCATTGTTGTTTGGCGGGCCCGGGCTGGGGATTCAAACCCGCCACCTTAGGTGTATGTAGCTGGTGCCTAAGCCGGTTGAGCCACAGGTGCCGAGCCGAGAATGGGTACTTTTCAAAAAGGCATAACAGAAAATGCTAATATGGCAAAACTGGAAGAGTCTATAATGTTGTAAACAAACAAGTTAAGAGCAAGAAGATTAACGTTGCCAAGAGGATTAACGTTCCTATGGAGCATATTAAGCACTCTAAGAGCCATGAAGAAATCCATGAAGAAAAATGATCAGAAAAGGGAGGATGACAAAGAGAAAGGTACCTGGGTTCAACTGAAGTTGGCACTATCCAGAGAGGCGTACTCTGTGAGAACCAACAGAAAGGAGCCTGAACTGCTGGAACCTATTCCCTATGAATTCATGGCATAACAGGCATACCATGTAGCACATGTGAGAACGTGTGAAAAGGTGCTGGAACCTATTCCTTGGGAATTCATGGCATAACATAGTGCACTTTGTAAAGCCAATAGAAAAGATCCTTAGCCACTGGAATCTATTCCCTATAAATTCATGGCATAATATGTGTAAAAAGTAAAAGACTATTATAAAAATGTAAAATATACATATATAATATAAAACTAAATAGGAGGCTCAGCGCCTGTAGCTTAAAAGCAGCTAAGGTGCAAGCCACATACACAGAGCTGGCAGGTTCGAATCTAGCCTAGGCCTGCCAAACAACAACGACAATTACAACCCAAAAATTAGCCAGGCATTGTGGCGGGCACCTTTCTCACAGCTACTTGGAAGGCTGAGGCAAGAGAATCGCTTAAGCCCAGGAGTTGGAGGTTGCTGTGAGCTGTGATACCACAGCACTCTACCCAGGGCAACAGCT